AACCTAGATTTTGGAGTTCCCTTTAGGTACACTTTAGGTCGGGTTATTCTTTTTTAACTACTGTATTGCAGCCTTCTCCACCTCACTGCATGCTTATCTCATTCTCCTCCCTACAGCACCTTACTAGGTAGAGTTCAACGAATACCACAGTAGGTTCTGTGGTCTACTCAGATTCAACAGGAGAGTCAGGGCACAGCAATTCTCATTTTATGCATGTAAACAATGATAATGTCTCAAATTACCTACAGACTACTCTGCATATCTCAGCATGATTCAGTAGCTCTATTCTGACACATCCACAGTCACTGCAGTAAACACATAAACTTTGTTTCTTTATGAAAATATTCCCAAGGAGAAAGCTAACAGCCATAGCTTGTAACAGAAGTGAAAGAATGGAAAGGTGGAGAAAAGAAGGGAATGGTATAAAAGAAACAGTTCTTGAGAGGTCTGTAGACTATATGTAATTATCAATGGCCTGGGATATTTGTTGAATGAGTGAAAACATAAATGAATATATAAATTTCAAAAAATGCAAATAGAGCAAAGTTTCTTCTCTCTCCATTTTTACCAGCCCATATTGATGAATGGTTTTCTGGAACAGTGCTAACAGCACTCTGTATAATGATGCAAGTTTCTACTAACCTGCACTGTCCAGTTAGGAAGTCACTACCCACATGGCTGTTGAACACTTGAAAGGAAACTAGTACAACTAGGAACTAAATGTTTAATTTTAAATTCAGGATGTGTGTGTGTGTGTGTGTGTGTGTGTGTGTGTGTGTGGTAGTCAGCTTTTCATCGCTGTGACAAAAACATGGGACAAGAACAACTTAGAGAAGGAAAAGTTTATCTTGGGCTCAGTTTCAGAAGTTTCAGTCCCTGGCTGGCCAACTTCATTGCTCTAGGCCCTGAGGTGAGGTAGAACATTATGGAGGAAGGGTTCTGGAAGAAGAAAGTTGCTCAGTTCATAACAACCAGGAAGGATAGGAGAGGAGAAGAAACAGAAAGAGAGTGAGATAAAGAAAGTAGGAGGGAGGAACAGACCAGGAACAGATATAGTCTAAGCCATGCCTCCAGTGACCTGCTTCTTCCAGCCACACCTCATCTGCCTACAGTTTCTACCCAGTAGTCCATTTGAATTATTAATCCATCAAATGGATTAATCCACTGATGAAGTTACAGTTCACATTATCCAATCATTTCACCTCTGAACACTGTTACATTACCTAACACATGAGCTCTTTTGGAGACATTTTTAGATCCAAACTATAACAACATAGCTAATGGCTACCATACTAGCCAGTTAATGCCCAGAATAAGGAATGCCTTCATCCTTGAACTTGAACTGCCATCAAATTCCATTAATAAAAGTCCAGGATCAACTTACTATTTAATAATTTTTTTTTTCAATTAGCACTTTTTCTTTCCTCCAATTTTCATTTTTATTTTACTGAGGCAGAGAAGCAGACAGCATTTAAGAGGAGACTAAGAGAAAGACGCATGCCAGGGTCAAACATAAGGCACTGTGCCAAAAGTGTTCTTTATATCATGCACTATTTCCTTTGATCCTCACAGCTACCTATGATTATCCTCAAGTCAAGAAAACTGAGACTGAGAACAATTAATTGGCTTGCCTATCACCACAGCTAAGATCATCTAAGATTCAAACCTACATCCAAGTAGAGTCGGAACCCTTAAGCACTACACTATGATTGCTAAGACTAAAATGGGCTGGATGAAAACTAGGTTTCAAAACTCCTAGAAGACTGAAGTTTTTCAGAGCACAATAAAAATTAAGCCAATCAGCTTACTTGATAAAAAGATCAAGGATATACTCAGGCAACATTCATTTCTAGTCTTTTCTTTTTACAGCCCGGAGGGATCGAACCAAGCACATGCAAAGCACACGCTAAACCACTGAGCTACAACCCCAATTCCCAGGCAACTCTCTTGATAATCAGTAAATGATGCTCAAAAAAAAAAAAAAAAAATCATACATGTTTTCAACTACAGGTATGCTTCTACATTGGAAAATAGAGCAGGAAACAGTACAAGTTTCTGCCCTGATAGGGTTTATATTCCAGTGAGGGCAGCTCTCTAATGAGATGACAACTAAACAGATACCTGACTGAATAAAAGTTGGTCAGTGAAAGGAAAGTGACCACAACACTCGGATCAACCAAAAGATCTTTATTGCAGCAGTGCAACAAAGAGAAAGGAAAGAAGGAAAGAGAGAGAGAGAAAAGAGAAGAGATGAACAGGGAGAGAGCAAGAGCAAGAGACAGACAGAGAGCGCGCGTAAGAAAGATAAAGAGCAAGAGAGAGAGAGAGCAAGAGAGAAAGAGCAAGAGAGAAAGAGCAAGAGAGAGGGGGGCCTGGCAGGAGGGAGTTTTTATAGCCCAAATCTAATGGGGCCTCTGGGTCTGCAAGCTGCCTTGTTGGCCCAAGGGGGGGTTAAGTGTTCAGTCTTAAGCAGGGTTGAATGTTCAGACTTGAGGCAAACAGGTGATAAAGGACCAGATAGAGGGGGGTTTGAGTGTGTGGGCTATCTTGCAGCCAACATCTGTTCAGCCTGCCCTGCAGACAACACAGTTCAGCCTGCTCTGCACCCAACAGTCAGCTATGTGAAGAAATAAAGGAAGAATGTCCCAGGCCAAAGAGATTGCAAGGACAAAACAGAAATAAAGGCATGCTGGGCACATATAAGAACAGCAAGTTAAATAAGCAACACCCTACATACATTTCCTAACTAATCTTGCCTCTTTGCATAGCAAGCACCTTCAATTAATGAGCTGACTGGCTCAGAATGCCTTCCTCAATTTTTCCTTATCAAAGAATTCCCAAAACAAGCAGGGCGCAGCCTCCAGCAGTGTGGGAGGCTGAGGCAGGAGGATCTCAAGTCCAAAGCCAGCCTCAACAATCGGGAGGTACCAAGCAACTCAGTGAAACCTGTCTCTAAATAAAATACAAAACAGGGCTGGGAATATGGCTCAGTGGTCCAGTGCCCCTGAGTTCAATCTCTGGAACCCCCTCCAAAAAAAAGTATTCCCAAAACAGTTAACTGCCCTTCCTACTATAAAAGCACTAAACTAAACCTCACATAATGCCATACCGACTTTATTTATTTATTTTATTTTATTTTTTAAATGACCTAGTTCCTGCCATCCAGAAGTTCACAAGGGGTCTATGTGTGACATCCGGAACTGTCACGAGGCAGAGGTGACTTCTTTAATTTTTTTTTTTTAAGTTTTCGGCGGACACAACATCCCTGTTTGTATGTGGTGCTGAGGATCGAACCTGGACTGCACGCTACCGCTTGAGCCACATCCCCAGCCCTGCCATACTGACTTTAGTATCCCACTTCACTACTCCCAGCAACAAGTTCCACTTTGCTGTCTGCCTCGGGTAAAACAACATTCTATGAATTTCTCAAAACCTAGCTTCACGAAATGCCTTGGTTTTCCTTCTGTCCCTCTGCTTTCAGACTGTATTCACCTGAAGTTTCCCCTCCAGAGGGTCTAATGTGATAGCAAAATCAAAGATAAAAACTGGGTCCTGATGTGTAACTGATGTGATTCTGCAATCTGTATATGGGGTAAAAATGGGAGTTCATAACCCACTTGAATCAAAGTGTGAAATATGATATATCAAGAACTATGTAATGTTTTGAACAACCAACAATAAAAAATTTAAAAAAAAAAAAAAAACTGGGTCCTGGGCTGGGGTGGTGGCTCAGAGGTACAGCACTCGGCTAGCATGTGTGAGGCACTGGGTTCGATCCTCAGCACCACATAAAATTAAATTAAATTAAAATAAAGATATTATGTCCACCTAAAAAATGTTAAAAAAAACTGGGCCCAGGCCCAGCTACCTCCTTAACTTTGGCCTCAATTCCTTTATCCATGAAGAGCCAAAAATACACTTATCAGCTTCCCTCATAAGGTTACTCTTAAATCTAATCCAAATAAGAAAAACCCACAAATTGTCATGTGCTACCCCAAATCTAAGATCCAAGAAATGATGGGTTCATTTAAAGCTTAGCTCAAAATCAACAGGGCAGGTCTTGACCCAGCACACTGGCAGTCATACAATAAATGTTAAGTCAAAAAAGGAGACTTTTTCTCCAATAATGGCTAGATAGGAAAAGCACATGGGCCAGATCCAACCGTGTAGCTGTATAGCCCCTGGCAGGTAAATCCCCATCACTAGGCCCTCCCTCCCCCAACCCGCACAATAAGACTTCAACAATGAAAGATCTACATTAGGGAGGCAGAATCTGAGAGACTGCCTTTACCTGCAATGTCATAAACAGAGAGCAAGAAAAGAGGAACTGGACTGAAAGCAAAGGAGTCCAGGTCTGGCTTTAGCACACTTCTTGGAGCACTGTGACCTTGGTCAATTCCCTTACCAAGCAAACCCCGTCCCTGTGTCCCCATCTGTAAGCCCGGGAAAAGAATCTAAACCGGACCACACGCCGCGCGTGCTTCCAAGCCCAGAGCGACAGGGCGCGCCCTTTTGGAGCGTGGGCCAGTTGCAGCCCTGACTGCCCCTCCCCGCCCACTCCTCATCACAAGAAGAGTTCCAAGCCCTTGCGCAGGAGAGGGATGCAACCCTTCCGGATGCAAGACGTGCCAGGACAGCAGTTTCGATTTCCTGAGCAAAGGGTCACTTCCCCCGCCGTACCGACACCGCAAGCAATGCAAGAAGCCTCCCCTACGGGCCTTCGGGATCCCGGCGGCTGCCCTCAGTCCCCACACCCGTCATCCCAACCTGGCTTTGCAGCCCGCCACGGTCCCGCAGGGTCAGACGGCGGGAGGGGCGTTGCCATAGGAACAGTGCTCAGGACCCCGGCCAGAGAAGCCCAGGGGAGGCTGGAAGGAAGGCTCGCAAGACCGCGGTGCCCCACGGATCCCGCCCCGCCATCCCCTCCCAGGGCTGTCCCGCCCGGCGAGCAGCGTCCCACCAGTTCCGCGCCTTCCCGTGAGGCTCCACAAAACCCCTACCTTCCGCCATGTCGGGCCCGGCCCTGCCTGCAGTCTCGCGAGAAGTGCGTGAGGATCGGAGGCAAGAAGTCTCGCGAGAACTGGCGGGGGCGCGGCAAAGGGAGGAGTTGGGGGTAGGAAAGAGGCGTGAGTGAGAAGTAGAGCGGGTAGTCAGCTGAGCACCGCGGGAGACCCTTATCTCTTCACTGGATGCTTTCGAAGCTAGGGGCTTACCAGGCGCTGTCTGGGCTCTGTCGTATTCCACGCCCTTAACAGGACACTCGCTGGAGATGCTTGCTGTGAGAGGTTGGGGAAAGGGATTGTGAAAGGGACTTTGTTGGTCTTTACGTAGGCACGTGAAAGACTGGGAGGAAGAGCTTAAGAGGGAATTTAATATAATGACGGTTCTAGGGTCCCATGGTGGGTGGGATGCTCAGCATTAGATACAGAACTCCAGGAGAAGGGATTAAATTTAAACTAGCGGAAAGTAGGTCGCCTATTATTCTACTAAGACATTAGGAAACAACATGCTTTAAGGGGGAAGATGCAAGCAGATAGATGTGTAGGGGGAAGAGATTTCAAGAAAATTATTTGAGGACATCAGTTTCATGCCTGAAGTTTTTAGTCATGGAGACCTGAGAAGAGTGAAGAAAATTTGGAAGAGGACGCTGAGACATTGGAAGGCCAGGTTCAAGCTCATGTATGTGTAGATGGGTCACTATTTTCTTGAACTCAGCTACCTGGCTGCGGAAGCAAAGAATTCATATTTGGGGGAGGGGAGGGTACCAGGGGTTGAACTCAGGGGCACTCGATCACTGAACCACATCCCTAGCCCTATTTTGTATTTTTTTAATATTTATTTTTTAGTTGTAGTTGGACACAATATCTTTATTTATTTTTTATGGGGTGCTGAGGATCAAACCCAGGGGCTCGCGCGTACTAGGAGAGCGCTCTACCGCTGAGCCAGAACCCTATTTTGTATTTATTATTAGAGACTGGCTCTTACTGAGTTGCTTAGCACCTCGCTAAATTGCTGAGGCTGGCTTTGAACTCGAGATCCTCCTGCCTCTGCTTCCCAAGCTGCTGGGATTCTGGCGGAGAAGCAAAGAATTCAAATGATAATATTTGCCAGGGTTTGGGATTTTATTTCAAAAAATAAATTGAGGGGCAGGGGTTGTGGCTCAGTGGTAGAGCGCTTGCCTAGCATGTGTGAAGCACTTGGTTTAATTCTCAGCACTACATATAAGCAAATAAATAAAAGTCCATCAAAAACTAATAAAAATTTTTAAGAATAAATAAATAGAGAGTCCTATGAGACTACAGCCCAGGTCATCAAATATGGCATGTAGACTGGCTAGGGGCTGATAGATGGGATATGGAAACTGCAGGACTCTATAATTTAAGTCCAATAACTGAAAAAAAAAAAAATTTTTTAAAGCCCAATAACAAAAGGGCCAAAGTAGTTAATCAGTTGAAAAGCAAAAAAAAACTTAAAAAAAAAAAAAAAAAAAAAAAAAAAAAAAACAGTGCAAGGCCATGGAGAGCACATAAGACCCTTCAAAAATTTTTGTCAACTTGGGTGTGTTTGCTTAGCTTGCATAAAGCCCTGGGTTTGATTCTCCAACATTGAAAAAAAAAATTGTTTTTAACTCAATGAAGAATTATGTAGGGGTAGTAGTAGCCTTGGAGGACAGCTGAATAGGAGATGTTGAAAGACAGGGGAACAGGATGAGGCTGTCAGAACCAGAGAAAGGATTCAAAATTGGGCAAGTTTTAGGTGCTGCCAAGGTTAAAGATTTAGTAGGAAGTGAAATGGAGTAGAGAAAGGTCATGGAAACATAGGGTCAAGGGTTGAAATTTTGAGGAAGAGGAGTGGATTCTGACTGATAGACACATGGAGTATGCAAGGGAAAGGGGAATTGAATGCTTAAAAATTAATGTTCTAAGGGCTGGGGTTGTGGCTCAGTGGTAGAGCACTTGCCTCGCATGTGTGAGGCCTGGGTTTGATCCTCAGCACCACATAAAAATAAACAAAACAAATTCATGTTCCAATTGTGGCAGGAAACTAAGAAAGCCTGGGCAGGAGCAGCACTTAGACAAGGTAGTCAGGGGAATACCTTGCCAGACTTAATGGAGATCTGATAGCCCAAAGATTTCTGTTGAGATTGGTTAATAGGTGTACCAAATGATGAGCTTTGGGGGATTTCAGGGTTAACCAGGCAAGCCAGCCTCCTGTGGCTAGAAGCACCCTCATCTGAACTGAGGATCCTAAAATATTTCAGGATAACATTAAAAAAAAAAAATGACGTGTTGTTGGGGAGTGTTGTATCATAAGACTTATCTTAGCTGGTACCTCACTGGTACCAGCTTAGGGTCCAATACATAGCAGATGCTCAAATGTTTGTTGAGGTGTTAATCACTCAGAGCTACACTGGGAGTCAGGAAAACTAAGTTCAAGTTTGGCTTTGCAATTCACTTGCTGTGTTGATGACAGGTAAGTCCCTGCAAACTTTATGCTGCATCTCAGATTCCCCATCAGTTTCATGAGGATATTGGACTAGAACTCAAGGTTCTTAATGATTTGCAGAGTCATGATCCCCCCTTTGATAATTTGGTGAAAACCAGGACTTCTTTCCCTTAACACAGCACACATGTAGAACAAAAAACAATGTATCCTTTCAGAGTGTTCCTGGACTAGATACCTAAAACCAAACTATAACTCATTAGGGGCATTTAAGCAAGCAATCCAGGGATTTTACTACCTCTTCATCACAAACTACCTTCAAGGAGCCCTCTATCGGAGAAGGTTGTGACTCAATGGCAGAGCACTTACCTAGCACATGTGAGGCACTGGGTTCAATCCTCAGCACCACATAAAAATAAAGGCACTGTGTCCGTGTACAGTTAAAAATATTTTTAAAAAATGGCTTAGTGTAAACCTATTTGAGCTAGAGAATTTAATAAAGTATTATAGTACTTGGTGAACTACAAACACCCAACTTGGGTAGCCCTAAGCTACAATAATAAATAAAAGCTGAAATATAGAAAAATTCTGAAAAAATTTTGAAAAATCTGCGCATTGGAACATGGTTTATTATTTTAGACCCAGTTCAAGTTTTGCTATCAGATTAAAAGGAACTTTGTGTGGGTTTGTCTTAGGCAAGGAACATAGGGGAGGCAGTGTGACATGGCAGAAGGGGAAGAGGAGGAAATCTCTAGATCCATGTCCAATGAACTAGGTCCAAGTACCAGCCTCAATACACATACTCTGTGTGACCTTAGAAGTCAATGTTTTGTTGTTTTTGTAGATGGACATAACTTTATTTATATTTTCTGTGGTGCTGAGTTCTGGAACCCAGTGCTTCACGTGTACTAGGCAAGTGCTCTACCACTGAGCCACAACCTCCAGCCCCAGAAGTCAGTGTTCTTAAGCTCTAGTTTTCTCACCTGTAAATGAGAATTAACAGCACCCAGTATATAAAGAATGTCATGGAACTGAATCCCTGCTATCTAACTTATTTGCTCTACAATATTGGCAAATTAATCTGAACCTCTTTCCTCATGGGAAACTATTACTTTGGAGGATCCTTTTAAGACTTTGACTAGGTCCTTTATGAGGCACACATAGCACAAGCCTGCCACAAAGTAGAGCCTCATAGAAGCTTAATTTCTACCGCTCTTATCCAGAATAAATTTTGTCATTGTGAACATTCAAATACTATTACTCTTTATTTTTTGTTGTTGGTGGTGGCAGTGGGAATTGAATCCAGGGACTCATATGTGCTAGTCAAGGACTCTACCACTGAGCTAGCTCCACCTCTAGCCCTACATTTCTCTCTAATGGTTACTGCTAAGGATGGTGGGGGAGACCAAATTTCTTGCCTAGAAACTTTTGTGCAGCTCTTACGTCTTCAATATATCTGGTTGCCTTTTGTATAGTTTATTTCACCTATGTGAACAGGATCCAAAATTCTATAATCATTTAACTGAAGCTCAGGGTAGAGTGCCAACTCAACAAGTCAAAACACACAATCCTACCTTGGCAGCCAGACTGCACACACCAGAAATACCATAGCCAGGAAATGATTTGCTCTGCAAACTAAATCCTGTTGAAGTTTGCAGGCCTCCAGAAAAGGAGAAGTTTAAAATTTGGTAGGGTTGGTTACTGCCATATCTTTATGAGGGGGAGGGAGAAAATCAAATGGTGCTTCCTGGAAGCCTAGTGCCTTGTACACAATATGCAGTATCAACAACCTGTCTGCTTGCATTGGGAACAGCATGCAAATGTTTTGATGCTATATACTTCAAGAAGATGCCTATGTATAAAATTGGTATTGAACATTCAGGGACATCATCTGATAAGTATATTTGGAATAAAATATACTTATTCCCTGATAAGTATATTTGGAATAAAACTACTGTGGAAGGGCCTATCAGGGAAATTAAACTATGGAAATGAGCCCCAGTCTCACCCAAGCTATTCTCAGGGAGGGTTTTCTTCTTGTTTCTAATTCAGCTCTAAAAGAGCTGGATCCATGTTCTTTTCTAAGTTTGTACAAAGGCCTTAATAGCCATTAGCAATTTATATAAAGACCCACAACACACACCCAAAGGTTCTACACCCAAAGGACTATGCAGATATTAATGGTTGGCACGTCAGTTATCAACACCTAACACTGTGAAAGGACTCAGGACAAAAAGCTAGATACTATTTTATCTTTAGAATGAATAAAGTACTCAGTTTTGCTTCTTTTGCCACTAACTTACTAAATGACTCTGGGTAGTTTCCAGTTTCCCCATCTGCTTAGCTGAGGGAAGGTAGTGATTGAAAATGATGCCTGTGTTCTCTTCCAGTTAACATTTGAGTCTGGGTTCCTCATCGTTTGAGTTATCTTTAAGGTGGAACTAATTTAGGCCAAAGACAACATTCCCAATAATGTTCTCACTTTAAGTATCCAAATTACTATGCACTGAAACTCTGATGAAAAATGGTGCTTGGCTGTGTATTCTTCATCAAGTTTCCCCTGTGCACCCTTTGGTATCATGTGCTGTTTATGCA